ACCTCGTCTCCCACTATAGTAGGAGGGAAGCTGTTTGAGGTAGCTGGACCTGGAGCTGGGAGTAGGTGTCTGTGTATTTCCATTACTCTGTTCAGAGATATCTGAGGAGAAGCAAAAGTAAATGGAGCAGCAAGAGTGGAGATTGAGATTTTGTAGCCGGAGGACTCAAGGGACATCCATACATCATTCAAAAGGCAAAATATTGAGAGGTTTTCTTGGAAGGGCCCTCATTCAGAGCAGGGAAAATGGGAGTAGTTCAGTCTGGACCAAACGGAACTCAAGGGAGAGTTTGCTAGCTAGGTTAAGAGTAAGCAAGGTTTAAAAGTCAGGGTAGAGTCCTCAGTGACATCTGAAGGGTCAGAATGTGAGATGGTGGGAGAGAATAGAGGCCCTTGTAAGTTAGGGGCTCTGATAGATGGTGTGAGGAAAGAATGGTAAATGGTGAGCCAAAGATGAGTCTTTCTGACTTTTGTATGAAAACTGCTGTTGAGGCTAGCACCTGTAAACAGGATGCCCAACCCTTGACCGTGGGGTCTAATGTTTTTGAACGATAGGCTACAAGGAGCAAAAGAGGGACCAACTTGATGGCCAAGAACCCCTAAGGCTGTTCCTTGGTTTTCAGTGACATAAATAAGGAAGAGCTGTGCGAGATGTAGTACATGTAAGACAGGGGCCTGTGGAATAGCCTGTTGGAGCTTATGATATTGGGAGGTGACTGGGGTTTTGAGGGGCTCCTGGAGAGATCCCTTTGTGACTTTGTAGAATGATAGGGCTTTGGAATCTGTGAACAAAGGCATCCTGCCAGACCTATAGAGGAAAGAATTTCTTCTTTGGTAGAAGGAAGTGGGAGGTTAGCTATGAGGTGCTTTCTGTCTACAGTGATAGTCTTGTGCGTGGGAGTGAGATGTATCCCAAGATAGGTTACCTCAGATAAGCAAAGCTGTGCCTTGGTGAAGGGTACCTGATAACCTTTGGCTTCTAGAAAGTTGACGAGAGCAGCAGTCTGTCATTGGCTATCTATTTTTGAGGAGCCACAAAGGAGGAGGTCATTGAGGTACTGGAGAAGAAGGAGGGGGGATAGGTCCAGGGTACCTAGATCATTTGTCAAGTCCTGACCAAACAGGGTGGGGCTACTCCAGAACCCCTGGGTCAGTTTAATGAATACTTGGTTGTCATGGTCAGACCAGGTGAAAGCAAATATGTCCTGAGAGCTAGGATGTAGAGCAGTGGTAAAAAATGTGTCCTTTAGAGCCAGGACAGAGAAATAAGATGTGAATGCTGGGATGAAGAAAGGAGAGTGCATGGATTGGGAGCCACTGGGTATATGGATACTATTGCTGTATTCATAAGGCAGTGGATGGATCCACTGAGTTTTTAACCAATACTGGAGTGTTATAGGGGGCACTAGTCTTGCATAGTAGGCCCTAGTGGAGGAGTTTTGAAATTATCGGCCTTAGACCTCTAAGGGTAGAAAGGGATAGGGGATATTGTGGCTGGGAAGGAAATATGGAAAGGTCTTGTAATTTTATCTGGATGGGAGGATGATGGGCTGCTACCGTAGGGTGACTGGTGTCCCATACTTGCAAGCTGACAGTGGACAGGGGACCTGAGATAGGCAGAGTGGCTGGGACCAGGTTGTCCTGAAAGAGAGGTAGTTAAAAGGGAGGTGAAGGTAGGCTGGAGGACAAGGCCAGTGGCCAAGAGAGAAAACCAGCTGAGCAGCAAACTGATAGAGTAAGTCTCTCCCCAAGACATTCAGGTATGGCAAGAAAAGAGTGGGTGAAGGGCCTGGTATTAATTAAGCAGAGCAGATTGGGAGTCTGTAGGGGTCTGTAAGTTTTCCCTCCACTCTGACTATGGAGATTGAGGCAGGAGAGGTGGACCCCTAATACTGGGTAAGGAATGAGAAGGTTGCCCCTGTGTCAATAAGAAAATAAATTGGCCTACTGGCTACCATCACAGTTACCCTGGGATCCCACAGAGTGATGGCCATAGTTGGGGGGAAGGAATCTGGGCTTCTTCAGTCCTCAAGAGCCAGTCCTAAAATGTCAACCCACGGCACAGGTGGGGTGGATGGCCTATTGACTCAACAGACAAGAGGACTGTCTACTCCCTAATGGCCCTTCTGGTGACATTTAGGGCAAAGACCTGGTAGTCTCTGGGATTAGGACACATTCTGGCCCAGTGGCCCACTTGGTTACATTTAAAGCACAAACCCAGAGGACCCCTGGAGTTAGTAGGACTCCTAAGGTTAGCAGGGTTACTGGAAGCAGCAGGTTGCTGAAAATCTTTGGCCAGCCTTTGGAATTTTTCCTTTTGGGCTCTCTCATTCCTCCTATTATATACTTTAAAGGCCGCCTCTAGAATTTCTGCCTGTGGAGTCAATGGGCCTCTCTCAAACTGCTTTAACTTTGCTCTGATGTCTGGAAAACTCTGGGCAAAGAAATGATTCATGAAACAGCTACGACCATTGGGAGACTCTGGGTCTAAGTGGCATATTGGAGGAGAGTTTGCATAAGGCATTGTAAAAAGATAAAAGTATTTTCCTTTTTATCTTGAATAATTTCTCCAAGTTTATTTTAATTTATAGCCTTTCTTGTGGATTTTTGAGACCAGCTAATAATCAAGTAATGAAATGATTTCTGGCCATTGTGCCACTGAGAGAGTTGTACTTCCAATTAGAGTCCTATTTGGGTGCTGCATCTGCTCCTATGGGATGGGCAGGGTCAGTCTGATGGGTCTCAAAGGCATGGATACAGACTTGTTCCCAAACCTACCTTCACTCCTCTGGAAGGAGGTTATTGGAGAGGATCATAAAGACATAATAAAAAGTCAGATCATAGGATTGGGTTAAATATCAAAACTCCTTAATGTACATCATTGGATCAGATGTGAAGGAACCCAGTTTTTATTAGATATGTAAGAGATGAGCAAGTGAGAAAGGAACATGGACCCAGACAACGCCTCTCCGCCCATCACATCTTGTAGAGTTAACTTGTAGGTGGGCTCCCTGGCTGCCATCCGGGAGCAAGTGACTCCAGGACTGCGTACCAGAGTGGAGGGGAGGGCTCGAGGTGGTGGTGAGAGGGCAGTCACAGAACGTTGGTTAGGTGGAATGGGAGAGGGCAAAGGTCAGAATGGAGATTTGGTTTGTGATAAGGCACAGGGAGCAGGGGGAGGGGTAGAAGTGTACAGGGGCTGGTTTTGAGGAAAAGTCGAGCAGGGAATTTGAGATAAGGCAGGGAAAGTACAATGAGTGCTGTAGTAGAAGCCAGTGCTGCCTCCTGGAATTCCTAGAAGGGAGTGGGGATGCTGACGAGATAGCGAGGGCCAGAGTGGACGTGGGCTTTGGGTGAGAGGCGACAGTGCCAGGGCTTGAGCAGGAAGTGGCTAGGCCAGTGCTTGTGGTTTGGGGAGGTAAGGTGGAGGCTTGTCTGTGGGATGGAAGAAAAAAGGGATTTTGGCTCAGGCTCTGGACCTTTGGTGGGAATCTTGGATTCCAAAATTACCTGAACCAGGGAAATGGAGGTACAGAGAGAAGGTATAGAACAGAGATAGAAAAAAGCTTATGGTTCACTAGGCTAATCCTCTGCCTATGGCACCGGTACCCCGGGTTCTAGTCCTGGTTGGGGTGCCGGTTCTGTCCTGTTTGCTCCTCTTCCAGTCCAGCTCTCTGATGTGGCCAGGGGGTAGGGGGCAGAGGAGGATGGCCCAAGTCCTTGGGCCCTGCACCTGCATGGGAGACCAGGAGGAAACACCTGGCTCCTGGCTTCCGATCAGCACAGTGCGCCAGCTGTAGCGGCCATTTGGGGGGTGAACCAATGGAAGGAAGATCTTTCTCTCTGTCTCTCTCTCTCACTGTCTAACTCTGCCTGTCAAAAAAAAAAAAAAAAAAAGCTTGAATATATGGGAATCCTTCCACTTTTCCAAATGCTCACAAAAGTGATAGAGAACCTGAATAATGTCAGGGTCAAATGTGCTGTTAAGTGACCATTTGGACTGGTTGTCGAGGTCATACACGAGCCACGCTTGATTACAAAGAAAGATGAGGCAATGGTGTTTGAGCTCTGGAGCCAATCTGAGAGGAACAAGATGATTTAGGAGACAACCAAGAAGAGAATCAGGCAGAACGTGAGACAAGGAAGCTCCCATGGTGACCCGTGGGGTCAGACTAGCAGATATCAGACATCCCTGAGATGGGGAGAGTACGGGAGCAGAGAGTCGAGTTGTCACCCAGACCCACTGGAGCCCAGGGCATGACGCCCGTAGAAGGGAAACAGGGGATTGAATCGTCACCCACACTCACTGTTGTCCGGGGCCCAAAGTCCGTTAGAGGCAAGAGGTCACGGGAGTTGTGGTGCCTGGTGCCAGGACTTCAGGGAGAAGTCGTGCGGAACCACAGCCTGTAGAAAGTTGCAATGAAAGGATCCTCGGCCAGCCCTGTCTTACTTCAAGATTTTGAAGGGCCAATGTGTGGGTGGGAATCACAGAGCGACTGGTGGCAAAGAAGGAAGTCCTGGGGTGTGTTTTGTGGTTGAGAGGAAGCCAGAATCCCAAAGCAGCTCAGATCCACAGAGGGAGAGCAAGGTAGAAGAGAGAGCCTGGATCCGAGTCACAGCACCAATGAAAGGCCACCACAGAACACACCAAATGCCGGAGTAAGGGAAAGGGTTTATTGAAGTGGGGAAACCTGAGAGGCTCAAGGGAGAGAGCTGGACAAAGGGCCCCTGGGTTAAAGCAGAACCTATTTATAGCTTTCCAGGGATGAGGGAGTGGCCACAATGAATCCCATTAGAGTGGGAGTGGGGTCGCCACTTATTATTGGGCCATTTTGTCACCTGACTCCCAGTAAGTCAGGCTGAGTCCCAGAGAGGCCAAACTTAGTGTACAAGATGGCCCTTTAGGTAGGATGTTACCATTTCACTAACAATTGCCCTCCATTGAGTCTCCTCTATGCTGGCTTTCCATTCATCCTGTCTCTCCCTGGTAACCTGCTTTACCTGTGCATCTCCACGTTTTAGAGATTTCCCGATGGTGCTGTTTGGAAGGTCAGTCTTCTGCTTGTGGTCACAACACTCTGCATTCCCCTTCCTATCAGATTCTCAGTACCTCTCCTTACATGCCCTGTTCTGCCTCAACTCGCACTCTTCCCATTAGAGCTCGGTGAACCTCCCTTCCAAATAGCCCTACGGAACATCGCTAGTCAGGAAGTTCTCACTGTCTCCATAGTATCAGCAATAGTTATGTCGTTTTCTGGAGTAATTTCTGCCCAGGATTCCACCAGGGACGTATCTATTATACATTTACTGAGAAGTTAACTTATGCCAGGCTGTTTTTCTCACTTAATCCTCACAATAATCTTCTGAAGGAAGTACTACTATTATCAGTGTTTACTAATGATTTGCTTTCCTGTCAACTCTGCTGGAATTGACAGGAACGCAAGTATATCAAATGTCTTAGGTAACTGTTTTCGGAACTTATCTGAAAGCATTTAGCACTTCTTAAACTCTTAATTGCTCAGGGTTTTCTTTTTCTATTTTAACTTTTCTCATTTCCAGATACAGCTTTTGAGAAACTTAAGGCTTCAAGGTGACCCACTAACAAAATAAACATTTGAGGCTTCTCTCTATGGCCTAGGAAAACAAATTCTCATTAGTTCAACTGGCACACATTTCAAACAAACTAATTGCAGGGCTGGGTCCAACTTTTCTTTTTTTAATGATTTATTTATTTATTTGAAGGTCAGAGTTACACACAGAGAGAAGGAGAGGCAGAAAGAGAGAGCAGCCTAATTGGCTGCAATGGCCAGAGCTGCGCCAATCCGAAGCCAGGAGCCAAGAGCTTCTTCTGGGTCTCCCATTTGGGTGCAGTGGCCCAAGGACTTGGGCCATCTTCTACTGCTTTCCCAGCCATAGCAGAGAGCTGGATAGGAAGCAGAGCAGCCGGCACTTGAACCAGCGCCCATATGGGATGCAGGCACTGCAGGCAGTGGCATAACCTGCTACGCCATAGTGCCAGCCCCCATCTGACTTTTTAAAGTAAATAAATAACAAAGTGTAAGTTAAACATATACATAATGTTTAGTAGCTGCATAGCCTCATTCCTTGGTGTGCTAATTACAAATGATTTTTAAAGCCAAAATTAATATAACAACTGAGCCATACATAGAAAACCTATTCTAGGTACAGTATGTTTCTGACAATGGGACTGGAAAAAAAGGCTCAGGTTCCTAAAATTTGTTTTTTGGATGCTTAGCTAATACTAAAAGTAGTAGCCTTAATAAACCAAGATTAAATTTCATCATAGTTATCAAGATTAAAATTATAATAAAAACAATTGAAATGAAATTGTAGGTAGTGCAAAAATGTTTTGAAATAAGAGTAGCCACGATTTGTTTTGTTTATACCTTTAATTCAAGCAGTGAGAATGTCCAATGCTTTCTCTCCTATGAGAAGGGATCATAGCAGGTGGGTCAAATTCTTGATTCTGAAACTAAAAAACAAGGACTGGACATAAAAGAAGATGATTCTGAAAGGATATATGGTCAGTGTGAGCTTTCGTTTAATGTTACTGAGACTGACTAAAGCTTGCTAAATAAAGGGTGAAAAGAGAGTCAGCAGAAATAAGGTAGGGAGTTTTGGTGAGGGCACTCCCTTTGCTTGTACAAGGGGATTGACCAGACTGCAGCACTGTGGATTTAAAGGTGGTAGAGACCGTAATGGCTTGGGCCACTTGTCTCATCTTCCAAGGACAACCAAGGGTGAAAACAAGCCTCACAGTATACCCAGTCAAACAGAAGAATCAGAGGAGAAATGTCTGTGGAATGTGCAATCAGATGGTCTGAGACTACTCCCAGTGCAACTCAGGTCAGGGGAATGATAGTGCAATATTTTACTGAGTTGCTAGAGGCAGTACCTACAGTGTCCTGGCAACAGTAAGGACAAAGAGGATACCATGTGGCCTGAATTGATGAATTCTAAATTCTCACAGAAGCATAGGGCTCATGGTTATGTTCTTTGTCAGATAGACTTGGGCTAATGATGGGTATAGGATCTGATGCTGTGTGTTTTCATGAGTCTTCTTTATAGAAGCAAGTTAGACCAGTCACTTCTCTGTCTCACATTAATCACCCGCCACTGCCACCAGTGTCCAAGAATCTGATGTTAAAGTGTAACCAAAATGACCTCCATAACACACCAAGAACTGGCAGGGTTTCAGCGAAATGTTCAGAGAGATGATTATAAAAGCAAAGAGCTTATATATTTTCTCCCATAAGGAATGTTACAAACCAACACTTTGAAAAATAAAATTACATTAGATTAAAATGAATCAGCATATTCTTATGACCCAATCAAGTAAATTATTTATACCAACTAAGGAGTAGGTGGATGGCAAATATGATTGCAAATATATGCATTTGAACATGAGCAAGAAACTCCATATGCTGATAGCATTTACATGGCACATATTGTAAAGAAATTGATTTCACTTTGTTTAATATTTATGAAGAAATCAAAGTCTAATCCTTTTAAATTGGTTCGTAAGAACTGGATCTGAGATAAAGATGCTATGTCACAGCTTAAAAAATATCCACTTAAAGTAACTTAAAATAGTAGTTACAGGTCAGAGAGGGTTGACTTTCCCACACGCAAAGCAAAGCCACAGTCCACGTACAAGTCATGTGCGGCCGTTTAATGTTCAGAGTCCATACATTATGTCAGGTAGTGTGCCTACACGTGATGGAATAATCTAAAAGAGGAGAAATGAGCAAGCAAATAATTAGAGAAATTGAGATAAAAATGTTTATATAATTATATATGTATATATTTAAATGTATGTATATATAAGTGTATTTATATGTATATATATTTAAATGACAAGGAATCATTTTATCTGCTCTATGATGCGTATTTTAGCACTGTTCACAAGAGCCAGGATATAAAATCAACAATTATGTCCATCATCATATTAATGAGTAAATAAAATATGGTACATACACACAATGGAATACTATTCAGCCATAGAAAAAATGAAAACCTGTCACAGCAAAATGGATGGGACTAGAGGATATCGTGTTAAGTAAAATAAGTCATAACAGGTTGACAAATACTACACTTTCACCCTCATAAATGGGAGCTTAAAAACAAACAAAAAACACCTCAATCTGAACACAAAATATTGATTACTGGAGACTCCGTGGGGTGGAAGGAATAAGTGAATTTGCATAAACATAGGGGAAGCTGAGTGTGATTTATTAATTATAACAAACCCATTATACTAACATGAGAAGTTATAGTAAGGGTTTTGGTCTATAGACTGTGACAAATATATCATACTAATATAATATGTTAATAAGAGGGAAACTTGGATGTGGTATATATGGGAATCCTGCACTATGCAATTTTTATTTTGTAATTTTAAAACTATTATGAAATAAAAAGTGTTTATAAAATTGCCACTTTGAAAGCCAAAGTTAGTCAGTTATTAGCAATTTCTCTGGGTTCTATTTTACATCTGTCAATGTATGTCTACTGGTTTTTAACTGTTCTTAAATTCAGTTTTATCTATAGAAATTCCAAGTATTCTACCTTGGGTGATGTAATCAGATGCTTTAATTCATCTAGAACTTAATGGTGAAATTCTTAGAATAAAATTTAAAACTTAAATCTGACTTGCTCTGTAACCTCTGAAATCTTTTCACAGGAGGAAGCATGATCTTATTTATTGCTTTCATGAAATGATAATGTAGATACCTTGATAATGTTTTCTGAAATATGTGCGTTATTTAAACACAGTCAAATGACAAACACAATTATTCGGAAAAGGTTCAGGTTTACACTCTGGGGTGAGGGAAGCCAGTTCTACCAATTAATTTCTGAGATTTAGGTAAATAATTATGGAATCACAACTAAGATCTTTATACACTCTCTTACCATCTACTTCCTTGAGTCTTTATTCTAAGTAATTGAATCAAGAGAAGAAAACATGAACCCAATGTGGAAAGATCAAGCTAACTTTAAACAAGATGCATTATAATATTGTTACATTCAAGAGCAAAAGTAAATTTATGCCCTGGCAGGATTTCTGTAAGCTTGAATATTTTGATGGAACCATTACTGCGAATCTTCTCTGTAATAAAACACTAAGGTTTGGGTTTCTATTCAGAGCATAATTCATATAAATTTCAAAATCCAAATTGGGAAGAAAGTCCAAATGATGTCTGTGTCATCAGATGAATGTGACAGTTGGAGTTCCAGCACATATGGCCACCGACATCAGATGTGTGTTTAAAATACTACAGAAAAGAACTGTGTGGTAGTCACTTTGTTGGATTTAAAAAGAAAGGGATTGCAAAGTATTTGCACACAGCATGTAAAGTAAATGCTAGAATAGAGATACAACACTTAACAGGTATTTGGCTTTTAAAAATGGAACCACACATCTTATTTGGCAGGGAATATAGCAAATGAATATTTTAGAAAGAGCAAATAAAATATTTTCCTATTGATCCAACATCTCTTGAGGATTTATTATACTTTTAATTTTTTGTTTTATCTTTTAATTAGTTTTTAACAGATACAATATTATTTGTAAATATAATTCTTTTTAAAATTTTATCTAAGTTACACAAGTTTCATGTATTTCATATACACAGATTTAGGAACATAATGGCACTTCCCTCCTACCCTCCATCTAGCCCATGCTCCAACCCTTTCTCCCCTTCCCTGTTACATCCCACTCTTAATTTTTACTAAGATTTATTTTCAGTGTACTTAACGATAGTATAGTTAAAGCTACTCTAAGTAAAATGGTTCAACAAATTGTATAAAGAGAAAAAAAACTATTCCACAATGGAAGAGACAGGGACTATAAACAATTATTCATTCCAATATATTACATTTCTGGTACTCTATTAGTTGCCTTGAATCAAGGAAAACATATGATATCTGTCTTTTTGGGTCTGGCTTATTTTACTAAATATAATGGTTTCCAGTTGCAAAAGACAGGATTTCACTTTTTTTACAGTTGAGTAGTACTCCATAGTGTGTATATACAATAATTTCTTTATCCAGTCAACAGCAGATGGACATCTGGATTGACTCTGTATCTAAGCTATTATGAATTATGCTGCAATGAACATGGGAGTACAGATAACTCTTTCATATGC